GTGTGTGATAATTGGAGGGATTTTGGAGAGATTTTATTAAACCGTAGACATGTTACAGAGCATTTTGCTCAGCTCCAAGATGAGTCACTGTAATTTGAATTACCTTGCTATACTTTTCAGCCTTTTCAGCTGAAATGCAATATACTTTAAAATATATACTTAATTGTAATGAAGATTCTTCCTTTGCCAGCTACTTTTAATATTGATTTTTGACCAGGGCCTAAGTATGTGATACAATAACAGACTTAGAGGGCAGTCTGGGAGCTACATATATCAGGTTTATTGATGCCGTCTGTGTCTCCTTTTTTTTTTTTTTTTCTTTTCTAATGAGGCACTAAAAACATCTGTATTTTTACCATTTACAGGGTAGTGTGGTTTTACTGTCTGTAAAAGGTAAACAAAAATGTTTTGATTCTTTAATTTTGTGGGAAAATCTATGTATGTTATCCATGATTCTTGTCAAAATATCATCCTTTGTATATTAAAAATTGTTTCTAAATACTATTTAGAAACAAAGACTCCATTCCTACAATGGATTCTGCATAGGCAGCACCCTGTTTTCAAGCATAACCCTATTAGCCCTATCTTGAAGGCCAAAAAAGTGTGGGTTTTTTTCGCAATCATGTTAGTTAAATCACATTAGCTTAACATTACTGAAAATCTCTAAGATGTGGACTAGCACGTTTGAAGCCAAATAACACTGCTTCAGAAATGTTAGTATCTTAACAGGGCTTTTCAGTCATGTTAAGCTCACTTGGCTGAACTAACGTGACTGAAAAACACACTTTCTGGGCATTTGATGTCAGTAGGGTTCCATGCAGGTGCAAGGGCATGCCTGCCTGGGAGTTGTAGGATTGACTTTAGCAAGACAATGACCTCTTTATAAAATATTTCATTTGAAAATTATACAGAATCAATACCTGTAGTCAGAAATTTTTGACTGCCTGTGTTTGGGGGAAAAAATAGTCTACCTCCTGTAAAGAGTACAGCTGTGTCAGAATGACACTTAACAGATTTTGTCTGAAGCAACATTTGAAGTCTTCCACAAGGAATATACAAGTTACATTTCAATAATGAACTAAGAAATATAATAGTCATTTAGTTTGTTAATCGTTTTCTAAGCCTTTATAGTAAATTATTTCCAAGACAAGAAGTTTTTAGTTAGTATTTTTGTTGTAAATTGCACAATGACAACAAAATGTCAGGTTTTAGTCAGTCCATCAGCTAATGTGGAAGTGCGTTTATTTTCTTGCTGAGTCAGCTTTGTGTCAGGTGTATTGAAATTATGCTTCCTTCATTCAGTGTTAAGAGTTGTTAATCTAAAATAGCTTATTTATTTTGAAGGAAGAGCCAGAGCCATGTTCATTCTTAACATGCAACTATAGAATAGAAAGCAAGTAATCAAGGGTAGCTTAATAATTAGCAACTTAGCCAATAATTCATAACTTGAGCTATAACATCCACTCTTTTTTCTCCTTCCGTATTTCCTCTTAGAGGCCCAAATGCAGAGGTGAGTGGGTGAATCCAAGACAGCATAAGCTAAAGTAATTTACTCTTTTACACCCTCTTGTTAGTTGCTTTTCTTTCAACACTGCTCTCTTATGGCTCCATATTTATATTAATAGACTGTAAATTAAACCATCTTTGATTCCCTTTCTATCTCAGCTCAGTTGGCCCAATTAAGTTGTAATATGTCAGGGTTGTAAGAAACACACTGGTAAAGGTGTATGAGTCTGAGTCTAAGTTGTTGCAACTTGCATGCTAAAGAGCCAAGATGAAGGTGTAAGCAGGGCCGACAAGAGGGTGAGCAAGCTGGTACAAATTACCGGGGCCCAGCGGTCCGGAAGGGGGCCCAGGGCCCGGCTTCCCCCCCCTCTCGTCGGTCCTCTTTAGCCGGTCCGCCCTTCCTGGGGAGCCCGAAAAAATTCCGGTCCCAGTTTCCCTGGCTTCCCCCGCCTCTCGTCAGCCCAGTTTAGCTGGTCCGCCCTTGCTGGGGGGCTGAAAAATTTTTTTCACCGGGGCCCGAACCCGCTGTTGGTGGCCCTGGGTGTAAGCCAAACTATCTTAAACAACTTTGGACTTACTTAAACGCCGCTCTGAATTTGGCCCAAAGTGTGAAATGCTAAAACAGATTTTATGTGAATGTAGTAGGTTTTTTAAAGGATTTCCTATGTCATAGAAAAGCAAATGTTTACTATTTTAGTAGTAGTAGTAGCACTTTATACACCTCTACCCCAATATAACGCGACCCGATATAACATGAATTCGGATATAACGCGGTAAAGCAGTGCTCCGAGGGGACGGGACTGCGCACTCCGGCGGATCAAAGCAAGTTCGATATAACGCGGTTTCACCTATAACACAGTAAGATTTTTTGGCTCCCTAGGACAGCGTTATATCGGGGTAGAGGTGTATATCTTCTAAACACTATGCTGCCAGTAGCTAATTAATATAAACTTATTGCAACATAAAATAAAAATCTATGATCAATTAATCAGCAAATCTCCTCATATTTCGTGTTGATTTGATTTCTGTAAGATGCTTCATTGATTAGTAGTCATGACTATTAAATATATTTTATCTTCTATTGTGCATTCCATCCACAGTTCTTAGAACACTTTACAAACATGATTGAACCTCAGAAGACCCCTCACTTGCTTATCATTATTTACAAATGGGGAAACTGAGGCACAGGTTAAATGATTTGCACAGTGTCTTTCAGTGAGTCAGTGGCAGATCTGGGGATTGAAAATAATCCTAATTCTTGGTGGTTCCCTACTTTCTACGCAGACAGTCTTTCCAAGAAAACTAATTATGCCAGGTTGACTATTAAGTGATGTTACAGCACTAAATTACTCTGAGAAGTGTATTATTTAGAAGGAAGATGACAACCTCATACATCAGAAAAGCTAATGCATCACCATGGAATTAATAATGTAAAAGAATGAATTCTAACACATTCTCTTATGGACCAGCAGCTACTATTATTATTTACATTGTATCTTGTGTGTACATGTTGTACAAAAGTCTTTTACCCCTGTATGCAGATTTCCAAATTAATTAATTCTCATTTGGAGGGAATTTTGGCCAGGCTTCAGCTATGTATAAAGGATTGAAAGGGTTAGGAAATAGGGTTGGTGGTTGATTTTCTATGAAAACTGTTTTTCAACAGAAAATTGGGTTTTTGAGAAGCAAAATTTTCCTGGAAACTTTTTTAATTGAAAGAATATAGCTGCAATCTTTCAGTTTTCAGCTGAAAAGTGAAATTTCCATGGAAGATTTTGATGATGACAAATGTTACTTCATTTTCATCAAAAATTTCTACAGGGAAAAGAAAACTTCTACGAAGAAGTCCTTTCCTTTGCTCGGTTCAAGGCCGGCTCCAGCTTTTTTGCCGCCCCAAGCTCCCGCAGAATTGCCGCCGAAGAAGAAGTGACAGAGTGAAGGACCTGCTGCCGAATTGCCACCGAAGCCGAGGTGCTGCCCCAATACCAGACGGAGCGCCACACCTTTCTATTGGCCACCCCAGGCACCTGCTTTCCTCACTGGTGCCTGGAGCCGGCCCTGGCTTGGTTAAAGAGTTCTTACAATTTCTTTAATTTCTTTAATTTCACCAAGCTCAGAAAACATTATATTAACATGTCTTCAATATTTTTGTATTGAAAAGTTACGGATTCTCCTTGAAAGATATTTCAGAATTTACATTGGTATAGAAGGGGAAATGTCACATTTAGGCAAACTAAGATAGATGTCAATTTCCAGGACTGGGAAGTCCTTTTTTTTTTTTCTTTTTCTTTTTTCCCTTCCATTTCAGAAAGTGAGTAAGATGGAAGATCAAATACTCACATAGAGCAGAGAATGAGTACATGGTCCTCCATTTTACTTACGTCCATGAGAGAACCAGCCATACGGGGATGCTGATGCACCTTTTATGCACCACAGGAGTGACTCCACAGTAGCTTCATTCGAAGACAATCGCACTTGGGGAGGGTGGGAGTGATCAGGAAAAGCAGATCAAATCTAAATGTATGTGAATTCAGTGTCCTCAGAGCACTGCACAACTGGTGCAGAGGGACTAGGATCACCATTCCATTCTGTAGGCTGAAACAGCACAGCAGGCAAGGCAGCACCCATCCTTCCTCCCCTTGAAGTGTGATGATCAGGTGGAGTTTGAAGCTGCTGTGGGCATTGAGCTAGTCGCTCCTTTTTAGGGGGGCTGGGAAGGAATTTTTCCCTCACCAGTATATTGGCTTCAGTGGAGTGGGGGTTTTTCGCCTTCCCCACAGCGGGGTGTCAGGGAAGGCCTATTAAGGTGAGTAGAAAAGGTGGTAGGCTGTATGTCGCAACTTATTTTGTAAGTGTGGGGTGGATGTCCAGTGCGGGTACTCGATAGGGAAGGCATCCAGTGACCAGATAAATGGCCTGGTAAAGGACATAAAAAGGAAGTGCTGGTTAAAGGAACGGAACAGGGCAGGGAGTTTGGAGCGCCTATGGTTGGAACGGCAGGGAGCCAAACCCCTTTTCTTATAGCCCACCTCAACCCTCCTGTGAGGGGGGAGGGGTGGATGGTATGGTCCTGGCAAAGGATGTGCTGGAGGGACCTGGCTGGAAAAAGAGGGGGAACTGGTGGAAGCTCCCCGGGTAATTACGGAATAAACGGGGTTACCTGCACTGTACACTTTTATCTGCTGGGTAGTCCCGGACATCTAATAATAAAGTTGCAGCCTGATTAAATCCATATCAGGTGTCTCCTGTCCTTCTTTTGGTATAGCCGGACAACAAGGAGCAAAGTCTTTGACTTAACTGGATGTCATAAGTAAGGGCAACAGGATTTGTTCTGTAACACACACTAATTATTTCTTCAGACTTCAAAGGGAATACTATGCATAAAAAGCTAAAACTAGGCCCAGTGTAGCTTCCATGATGTTACAGGAATGGTCCAAAATGGTAAAGGCAAAGTTTAAGTTTGAAAACTAAAGTACACAACTGATGATCATTACCTTAAACATTCAATGTCAGTCTGAGGCTTTTCACTAACTTTGACTTTTTCTGCTTCTAAACATTTTGTAATGTCTTCAGCTTCACGTAGTTGTTCTTCAGTATCTAAAAGTAAAATAACAATGTCCTTACTAATATATATAAATCATCTGTATTCACATACAGCCTGCATTTTAGAAGTTCACACATTCTAATTATTGTGGAAACTGCTATGAAGGTGAAAATATTAGGTCACAGTACATAAAATTAAAATATTTTACAGTTGTAGTTACCATACAATTGTAATCTTTCAAGCAATTGCAAAATCTGCAGGATGCTTATAGTATCTGTACATTAAAATTTTAACCTCATAAAGAACAATTTATGGATTTCTTTCCTAGTTCAACTACTATTATGTATGTATATTGTTTAAATAATATATAGATTCTGGTTATTTCTATTTTATACCCAACGCTTTGTAGATTTAATAAAAATAAAAGATTGGCTTTATTATACTATTTTAGCCAAATCTCAGAACCAGTACTTCATCCTCATCCTCCTTGACATGTCAGCTGCCTTTGACGCAGTCAACTGTTGTTGTTTTTCTTGAAATCTTGTCCTCTTTTTCTTTCCATGACTCTCTTCTCTCCTGATTTTCCTCCTACTCTATGCTCCTTCAGAGGATCCTCCTCCTCACCCCTTCAGCTTTCAGTGGGAGTGTCACAGGGCTCTGTTCTTGGTCACCTTCTCTTCTCTGTCTACACCTTATTTCACCTACACCTACACATTAATCTCATCTGTAAACACAAATTTAACCATCTCTATGTTGATGACTCTCAGATCTATCTTTTGGCTCCAGGCCTATCTCCCTTTGTCCAAACTAAAATCTTGGCCTGTCTCTCTGACATCTGCTCACAGATGTCTAGTCATTAGCTCAAGATCAACATGGCTAAAACTCAGCTTCTTATCTCCTACCTGTTCCCCCAAGCCTTCCTCAACACCTATTTTCTCAATCACTGTGGACAACACTGCCATCCTGCCTGTCACTCAGACCCATGTCATGGGCATAATCTTTGACTTGGCCCTCTTGGTAGGTCCTCACGTCCAGGCTGACTAAATCTTGCTGATTCTTTCAGATTTTTCTCTAGCCTTGACAAATGTAGTCTTGCCCTGCTTGTATCCATTCCAAATGCTGCTGCCAAGATCATTTTTCTGTCCTGTCACTTTGACCCCATCACTCCTGTCTTTGCATCCCTCCTCTGGCTCCCCCTTCTCTATTACATGAAACATAAGATGCCTGTCTTCACTTTCAAGGCCCTTCATGGCCTATCTCCACCCTAGTTATCTCTCATTCAGTACTGAGATGTTGACTCCCACCTCCAGTTGGCCCATGATGCCATCACCCACTTGTACAATTTTTAAACAAGCCCTTCATTCCTTATTACATGCAGTTCCTCGCAGTTGGGAGGGGCAAATCTACCATTTGCAAATCTACATCATTATCTTCCTCCAAAACCCTCCTTAAAACTCAACAAAGATAGCTTGAGCAACAGTAGTAGTGAAGCTGCAGCAGCATGGTCGGTGACTGCTCGAGTATGTATGCAGGGTTCTGGCAGGCAGGAGTAGCCTGTGCAGACACCAGTGCTGCTGCTGTTACTCAAGCTAGCTTTGATTTCATATCTGTCTGTATATGCTTCAATCACACTTCCTCATGGCAGAATACAAATACTCTTACATTGTAAGTTCTTTGGGACAGACATCATCTCTTTGTTCTGAATTTGCACGGCACTTACCACAGTGGCCTCCTAGTCTATGACTAGGTCTCCTAGGCACTACCGCAGTACAGTAAATAATTATGATGGTGAATGGACTGCAGTGTTAAACAAAATGGGACAAAAGTTGGACCCAGTGAACTCTGCTCTATTTGAAGTGTCACACAAATAAACCCATTTTATTACTAGATCCTTGTATATAATAATCTAGATGACAGGCTATCAAGAGGTGTTACAGTATACATGGATCAGAGCTGTATTTCAAACACCAAAGTATTTCAGAGAGAGATTGTTTCAGCATTATAAAGAGAGAAGAGGTGAAAAGAAAGGTGAGGTTGGAGAAAGGAATGATGGAGGCAGGAAGTGAAAGGAAATGAGGGAGAGGGTAGATAACTATATTACTATCAATCTATCCATAAATGATAAAAAATAGTCTGGAAGAGAGTGACACTACTGGTTCAAATTTATAAGCATCTTGGTCTTTTATGGCTCCTATCCTGCTTCCACAGAAGACAATGGTAACACCTACTGTTTTGACTTCCGTGAGAGCAGGTTCCGACCCCAGATTATCCTGAGTTATCCGATGCTCCTGCTTTATTTTATTGCAGATATGCACCACCGGCACACTGACAAAAACGTTTACTTTGTCACCTTTTGTTGGTTCTTTCGTAAATCAAGTCACACATATTTATATATATATTTCTCATGTCCTCATTCTAAATCAATGCTGTATTATATATGAAAAGATTAGCAGGATAAACAGCTTATCATTAAAGCTAGATGGACAATGGCTTTTTTTGGTTTTCAAGAAAAAGTTTTTGGTCAAACCAAAAACTGCATTTAAAAAAATTGTTTGGTGAATCTAAGTTTGAAAATTGTTATAAATGTGTGGGTTTTACCCCAGTGATAAGGGCACTCACCTGGGATGTGGGAGACCTAGGTTCAATTCTTCCCACTGCCTGATGTGGAGAAGAGATGTTAGTTGGGGTCTCCCACATTTCAGAAGAGTAGTGCACTACTATCACTGGGCTATGGATATTCTAGTATGCGTCTTTTTCAATCTCTTCTCTTGAAGCTGTGTTCTACTTTTAAAAAATTATCACTGGAGCAGGGACTTGGGTATCCCACCCCCCAGGTGAGTCCCTAAATACCAAGCTATACATCCATTCTAATGCTCTTTCCCTGTCCCAGTGACTATCCATTGTCATTCTAAGTAACAATTCATATCTTTCATTAAGACCATGAATAGTCATTGGGACAATCTTACTTCTGTGAAAAATATCTGAGGGGAACTATTTGTCAAATGTGTTTGTCAAATCACAAATGATTATCATAATAAGTGACTATCCAACACATTAAATACCTTTGAGTTTGCTCTGGAGAGTAAATAAATCCTGCTTTAATTCATTCTTCTGCAGCTGGAGTGCATTTAACTGAACATTTTCACGTTCCATTGACTCCATTTCTAAGAAGAAATATATTTTAAGTTAAAATGTATTACAGTTTTAATCTTCATGGTATAATCTTAAATACTCTTTAATTACTTCTAACCATCTTCGGATATTCTAAAAGGACATTAGGCTAAAAATACAATTAGACTTATAAAACCTGATGTACAAGAAATTACATATGGACAACTCTATTGGAATTATCTGTATCTACAAACAGGGAATACAAGGAACAGGTGCATGATGAATTAAGTCTGTCAAGTCAAACTGTCTGAAGAGAGAAATTTTTTACCCCTGTTGGCTATTCATGTCGCTGGAACTCTGGACTTTATCGCCAGATGGATGAGTTGGGTTCACCTGGAGAAATAGCAACTGAAACGGTCCAAGTAGCCATTGCCTTTGTTACTAGTGTGGTCTGTGGCTAGCACAAAGAATGACTGCCCAGTCAGCAAGGAAGAGGAACAAGAAATGCCATGGTTAGACTACCTGCTATGATAATCTTATATTCTGTATTTTAGCTCAAAGGGTCATAGGATCCTGTTTCAGACAATAACTATAAATCCCATGAGGTACCTGTGCATGTAACTCCCACTGAATTTAGGAGGGCTTGTAGGACTCAAAGCTGGTGGTCAATAATCATTGAGGGCTTAATTGTGGTCCATTTAACGTGGTAATGCAATGTGCACCCCCCCATACCTCTCTGTTGGCTATGACCTCCTGGACAGCTGTGCAGGAGTAGATGCAGGGACCGCAGAGCTTGTAATTCCCCGCATAGCAGAAATGAGTGGGAGAGAGTGTACTAGGCAATATAGCCACACCAACACACTGCCCCTTATTGAGGTCAGATCATGATCTCACAATCTAGCCCTAAGAGAAATATCCAGCTAGGAAGGCAATCGGTTTAAAAGTATTGCTTTACTCAGTTAAGTTTTAGTCATTTGTATTCTCTAGCCATCCAAGATAAAATAGTTTAACATAAGACGTACCATTTTTCAAAATATTTGCCTTAGTTTCTAAGTCACATATTTCAGTCTTGGCTTTTTTTCTAATCAAAAGCTCTCTGTTACATGTTAGTCCATACTCATTGTTAAAATCTGTGATTTCCTTCATAAAATTCTCCTCTTCTTCAATAATTTTCCTCTTTGTATCTGACTAGAAAGGTGGAAAGAAAATACACAGAGGAAAATAGAATCCTTGTTAAAATAATCGAGCTGAAATACAGTTTTACCCCCTTATAACTATGTAAACTCGGTATGTATTCTATGTTGTAACCTGGAAAAACAGGGAAATGGTCTAGATCTCCATCATTACTTCTGTTGCATTAATCTTACTGTTTCGCTCTTGTGACAAAATGAAAGCAGCGTGTTCTATAATAATAGTGCTGTATCATTAGTGTTAGAGGCCACATTATGCTATCAATTTTTAAGCATGTGTTGAAATCAATGGAGACTTCTGCTTAAAATCAATGGCACAAAATGGCCATTCTTTTTGGTTCTTTAAATTGCTCATTAAGGGTGAAATTCACCCCTTTGCAGAAGTTCAGGATAAGGCCACTGCACTATTTAAGCTCCCAAAATATAGCCTAAGAGAGCTGACCCTCTTAGGGAGTCTGGAATATGGGGTTTCTCGGTGCCTTTTAGAAGTAGGTCCCAAATTTAAAGTATTTGTTTTTATAAGAAAAACTTCCATTTATAGAAAAATACATTCATAAAGTCAATGACAAGATTAAATTCCATTCAAAGCTCTTATCTGAATACTGATTTAAATAAAAAGTGAATTCCCTTGTAAACAAGGGAAGAGATAACCAGTGCATCAAATCTCACTGGATACAGTTGATAGCAAATTCATATTCCATCAGAGGACAGCAATTTTGCCTTTATAGCTAAGTAGCATTAGTATAATATTTACAGTATTCCTTATTCTGTCCTATATGTAGGAAGGGGAATATGCTAGACACTGCAATCATACTACTAAATTATAAAGACAACTGAAAAGTTTTTAAAGGTAATCCAGGAGGTAGATTATCTAAAATCAAGGATTAAATTTTGGAGTGAGATTCTGAATTTCTCTGTGTTTTAATTTGTTAGAACCAAAACAAATTTTAATCATTCAGATTTTCATAATTAATTAGTGTCCAATTTTTTTCTAAATATAAAACTGACTGTAGTCATACAGTATTTTGTAAAACTGAACTCTCCTAAATAGTATAACTGGAAACATACAAAGCTTTTGAGAAAAATACTCCTTTGATTCATAAGTTCAACTTTCTTTTTCTCTAAGATGTCTTCACGTTTCTTCAAAAGCTGTAAGTAGAAGAGCTTTTCAGACAGCTGTTGAACCTTCAAAGAGAACAAAAGATTATTGGTGATAAAAATAAGTACACATGATGTATAGGTCTTGCACATAAAGAGCCCTAACCAGAAAAAAAATAGCTGCTGGACCATGGAAGCTTAATGGGTCTCCTTTTCTCATTAGCTTGCAATCTGATCACAATTCTTTGCAGTAGTATCCCCTCTTCAGAGGCTAAGCTCAGTGCTGTTCCCAATATAGAGAATGGAGTCCTTAACTCTCATTTTTAGCCAGAAAATTTTTCATCTGGTATGCAGAGAGACTCAACAGAGCATACAGTCTTTTAGATAGCTTAACATAGGGGTGAGTTTTACTCCATCTAACCAGATATCATCAAGTCAGGCATAGATTAACTTCAAAGGGACAAAAATCCAAAGTTATTGTGCTCTTCTCTGAATGTCTGTGGTTAGCCATAGAGAGCTATTTATGCTATGCCTCTTCTACTATAGACGATGATGTAGGGATTGATGGTCTCATAAATTTTCCCAGTATGACTGTGAGAACTAACAGCCAGGGAAGAGTAATGAAGGGACCAAGCTTTGGGCTGAAGACAGTTCTACTCTAAAACGCCAAATAAACTAAAAACCTTCCTTGTGTACACATTTGTATTTTCAGATTTAATTTTTTTAAACAGTACTTCAACTGATGAGGTAGGCTGCTCAACTAATTTGTGCATACCACTTAAGGAGAATTCTTCCAGATTTTGCAGCACAACCATGGTTGGAGGTTTAAAACTAAGCAAGCGTAGGGGGACAGAATATAAGATACAAGAGCAGATAAGTCGGGAGCAACTAAGTTATTGAAGGATTTTAAAGGCAAGCACCAGAAGCTTGTATCTGATGTGATGGTGAGTGGGAACCAATGAAGGGACTCAAAGAGAGGGCTCAAATGGTCAAAACACTGGTTAAGGAAAGTGAGCTTAGCCTTTTGAACTGATGACAAGGGAGCAAAGTGGCTGCCAGGAAGCCCACAGAGGATGAGATTGCAGTAGTCAAGAGGAAATACAGTGAGAGTCTATATGGTAGTTTTAGTGGTGTGGATGGCAAGAAAAGGCCAAATATTAGAGATATTATGGAAGAAGAAGTAACAAGATTTGGAAACTGTCTACATATGCAAGTTGAGAGAGGGTAAAGTCAAGCTGATATGCCTGAATAACAGAGAGAATGGTGATAGTATCAATAGTAATGAAGCTTGGGCAAAATTAGGAGAATTTGGAAAAGAAAACAATGGGCCAGATTTTCTCCTCACATACCAACCATATTTTAGAGAAGGTGTCAGGGAGTTTGTTCCTCCAATACCAAGAGCTTTGGGATAATTTATTGTTACATACTGATTCAAAGCAAGTTACTAATATTGTGCTTCTGTATTTATATTACTGAATATAACCAGGCGTATTGTAGTTTCTCCGGCCCCAAAGTGCCTTCATAATCTATTACTTTGCAATAATTTTTTTTAAAGAAATCATTGAGCCATGAAAGGCAAAATGCTATAAATCAAGTTCTAATTACATGCTAGCTGGTTTTACAGAACAGAAAAAAAAATAATATTTCCTAGGAGCGTTCTCTTGACCACAAGCAGTCTCTGTGATATAGATGTCAAAACATTTTTGAACTCTAAGGCTCATCTACTTATTCAGGCCTGGGTTGGGATGGGGCGGGGGGAGAGGGAAGAAATGACATACAGTTATTTGGAGGAGGCCTTTAGTATTATATTATTACTTTGATTATATTAATTGCAGTAGATACATTGAGAATTTGTAGAATAAGCTACATTTTAGATATTGAAAAATAATTGATAATGTAAGTAATCTCACTAGTCAATTTATAATCTTTGTATTGAAATATTATTTGATTGAAATTTTGGCATTTCCTTTATTGCCTGCATCATTTCCTTTTGATAAATGAATTAATTTCAAACTAAACAAGCAAATAAAATCTACTATTTTACGTATAATTAATTAATGTATAAAAGACACTGGAATCAATTAGGAATGAATCTTCACCTTTCTCCACTAGTCATGTACAGCAATTGTTTTACTTTTGAGTCCTCTGATACCTACCATACAAACCACAATTATAAACCAGAATGAATCAATAACAAATTAGGGGTATACAAATAAAATTGTGATTCTCATAAATTAATTTTATAAGCAGGACTACAGGGGGTTGGTTACCTAGCAAATATCACACATTCCAACCTTGTATTGATTAAAGACCAGTTCCTATTGTAGATCCATATTGGGTTCTGATCTTTGAAACAGTTATGCCATTAGTTCCATTGAAGTAAATGGAGCTGTTGACATGCATATGTGTAACTGTTTGCAGAATCAAGGTATAAATTTGTAACTAATAAACATTTCTAAACAATTATGTGGATTCTTCCCCCCCTCTAACATATCTTAATCTATTTTAGGGGTTTTTATAGCACCTGTCACAGTAGCATTGTGTGGCAAACCACACAACAGCCTATATTTTTGGAGAGATCGGTATTGCCACCAAACCATTCATTCACCTCACCAAATGAATTAGTAGTATAATAAGTGTTGGTAAAATTAGGAGTCTGGCAGTAAAAGTCAAAAGGGGCACAAAGCACAATCCAGAAGATTGCAAGATTTATCTCTAACATGATATCGCTAACATATTTCTGTTATTTTATAGGTAAAATACTAGAGATAACATAGGCCTGACTCTAAAAGGAGCCTCTGTCTGCCTGCTTACTATGCACTTACAATTTTGTGGGTGCAGATATTTAAGAGCACAGGTGACATCGTTTAGACCTCATTTGCAGGCACAAACAAGTGGGTTTCTACCATCAGTTTCACCCACAATTATTAGTACTGACAAAACTGAGAGTATAAAAAGGGAGTTCATGTCTCAAAACAAGGCTCCACATCTACTATATGGACAAAGGGATTAGAAAATGTAAAAGAGTGAGTGGCTGAACACTAACTGGTCTGGCTAGAAAGGTGGTTCTGTCTACAATGGCACTAGCCAAACTATAAGTGCACTCTTTGTACATGCTAGACGGCGAGTAACACAAATAGAATTGCTGATGTGTGGATGAGGTGGGAACTCTTAAGGCCTGATCCGAGGCTCACTAAAGTCAATTCTGGGACTCTCTTAATTTACTTCAGTGCACACTAGGTAGGGCCGTTATTGAATGCAAGTGGGCAGTGAAGCGCGTATGTGAACAAACTCCATGTATCTTAGAGTGTTAATGAAGGAGAAGGAAGGAGTGTTCTACCTTCTACATCAAGACCTCAAGCTTGTAAAAAGAACCAGATTGGTATACCCCTGAGCCCATATGGAATCCTACTGAGGCCCCTGGGGCTCCATGCAATCTCAGGGGTCAGTCTGAATGGTGAGTTTTATAGGGCTGGGATCAAAATGGCAGGCTGATTCTCTTGTGAAGTGTTCAGATACTATGGCGATGAGCACTATAGAAACGCATACAAATACATACATAAAGCAAACACTATGATAATTCATATAAACACTACAGGAAGTATACTGCTTCAAAGTGTTCATGAACAATATATTAAAATTACAGCCCATTTACCTATAACAATAATTAACATCTATAAGTATTACTACTCTACCTTAGTTTCTAATTTTATTTTTGCTTCATTCAGCTCTTCTGTTATTTGCTTAATTTTTTCATGACTTCCATTTATGTCTAATTTAACTGCAATACAAAATGAACCTTTAAACACATGAAATCAATTGGTGAAAGTGAGATTCTTTTAACAATTTGCGGCTTGCAAGATAGAGTGGTGTAGAAAGATGACTTCAGTAGAGACATATAATTGCTAGACTTCTAATCACATTGGTTTTCCTATAACAGCTACTGTCACTGTCATCAGTTACTAGAAGTGGAAATCGACATTCAGTTGTGAATGAACAAGTACCTAATTACTACTTTAGTGTGGACAAACATGACATTTGCATAGATAATTCAGGTAGCTAGCTTTGGAAATTTGATTTAAAGTAAGGGTCACCTGTTTTACTGTATAGTAAAGTACCTTGTTGATACTCTGCTACGCCATGACCAAGTGATTAAAACAACAGGCAGGGAGACAAGATACAGGGGTTCTGTTTCTAAATCTGCTGGCGGTTTTCTGTGTAATCTTGGACAAACTTCCTAAAGTTCCCACTGCATTCCAGGCAATTACATTTCCTGAAAGCAGATTTTGTAGAGTTCAAACTACAGGTCTAGACTGCAGTATTGCCAGACCCAAGCATTCAAAAAATCATGACTTAGCCTCCCCCCGCCCCCAATATTATGAGGTCAGCTTAAAAATCATGAGATTAAAAAAAAAAAGCAGATCCTTTTTATTCGCCTTCTGGTTTTAAGCCTTTGGGTTTGTTTTTCATCTTTCCTCCATCATCGGGAGGGTAGAAATGTACTCTTTTTTTTTTTTTTTTTTTTTTAAAGAGCGAGCGAGCACTGAGATTCGCTTGTAATAACATGATTCTAGGAATTGGGGCTTTAGGAATAACAACAAATATCATGAATCTCATGATAAAAAATTATATGTTGGCAAGGCTGTGCGTGAGGATGATACAAGCCTGACCCTGCTGTATTCAAACCCAGGAGAAGGGAGACAGGCTCTTTCAAAGCCAGCCCACGTGTCTGTTGCAGGGCTGCCCTGAGTCCCTATGGAATTCACTAGAACTATTGAAACAGGAGGTGGTGAGGGAGGTAGGAACTCGGTTATTGGGCTCAATACAGGAGTGACAGGGTAACTCTGTGGCCTGTGTTATACAGGTGAGACTAGAGACTCTGAAGGTCCCTTCCGGCCTTATAATCTAGGAGTCGATATACTCCAGGGGAAAGGCTCAGTCAGCATTTACTGACCTTGCTTGAAAACACCACCCCCACCCCAAGATGGAGGAAAAACCTCACTGCCATGCAGGGCTCTCGGGGAACCGTGGAGTCGTGTAACCACAGGCACCCCTGGCCATCCTCGCTGCACCAGGCACAAGATGGCGGCCGTGTGGCTGACCTTGGTGCATGAGGCGCCGCTTCTCCTCCGCTTGCTGCTCCGTGAGGAGGATTTGCTGGAACAGGGAGTCCAGGCTCATTTCTGTCTCCTTGGAGGGCAGGACTTGGGGTTATTTCCCCGTCCCTGGGAGGCTTATTCACCACTTCAGAGGCCCCTCACAGGGGGGGTAGGGAGCTCTTCACTGAGCCTGACTCCTCCCCTTTTAGCAGCAGCCTTGTGCTCAGCCCCTCACATCTACCCCTCCTCCTGCCTGACCACCTCAGTTCCTGCCTCTCTACCTCCCGACCGGTGGCTGGAGGAACAGGGGGGGCTGCACAAACCTCCAGAGGGGTTTGTGCAGCTGAGGAGAAGCCCCAGAACCAGCCCATCAAGCGGGGAAGCCTGAGCTTAGAGCAGAGAAAGGAAGCTGGGTTGAGGGGTGGGAAAAGAGGAGCCCAGCCGTAGAGGAGGCTGGTGGTTTTGGGGGGCAGCAGAGGGAACAGGGATTGGATGGAGAGAGCATGGGAGGTAGCGGGGGGGTCTGCTGGTGGAGAAGATTGGACTGGGGTGGGGCACAGGGTAATCTTAACACAGGGAGGGAGGGGTGGTAGTCGTGGTTATACAACGTTTCAAAGTTAACGGGATGAAACAGAACTTCAGCAAAATGTTATATTATAGTCAAGCTACTGTTAAACAAAATAAGCTCTGATGAAACTTGAAAACATGAAACTGACCCCTCTTATGTAAAACTGAAATGATTTTATTTTTAAATTGGCACAAAGTGAAACAGAGGGAACAGTTCACAAAGGTGAATTTAGGAAAGTGGTTTAGTAGTGAAGCTTCCTACCCAAAGGCCAAAGGAAAAATGGAAACTGAGTGAAATGGGGAACTTTTGACAATTCAGATAGCTATTTTTTACCTGAGCCTGTGAGTGAACAAGTCATTTTATAAAAATTCAAGAAAAAGAACTACAATATCCTGGGATCAAGGCGAAAATAAAATGAAAACCATTCTTTGAAGTTTTCAAGACTTTACTGCTATGGCTGCAACAGGGGCTTTCATGTTTCAAACTCTGAGAAAGCTGCTGTATGCCAGGATGGTGTTCCGTGTCACATATTAGAAGAGCTGCTCTTTGTGGCGGGGCTCCAGATTCTCAAATTATGGGAAAGGAATTGTTCTTCATAAGAGAGGAAGCCAGAATCCAACAATAGTGCATTTCTCAATGTCCCAGAATGCCCAGTAAGCCCTTTTACAGCTCTGTTAAAGAAGTCTTGAAATTCAGGATGGGGGAAATGAAATAGTCTTTAGAGTTCAGCTTGGTAGCTGTGACTTGGACCTCAGTTCTGCAAAGACACACATGCTTAACTACACATAGTAGTCTTATTGAGTTCCGTGGGACTACTCGTGTGCAAAGTTAAACATCTATGTAAATGCTTGCAGGGTCAAAACTAAATGTTATGGAATAAAAGTAAAATGCATTCCTGTTTAACTAGAGCCATGCAAAGAATAAGACCTTTTGGCTTTTCCCAAAGGTGGTTTTAATTTTATTTTGTAGGTCAGATCAGTGCATCCTAATCTTAATCTGTATCAGTATTTTAATCATCATGCCCTAATCAGGTCATGTCTTTTTAATGTACTTCAGAATTAGTAATTGCCTTTTGTAATCAAGGTGCTGTGAAAGAAATAAAGTTTCCTCTACAAACTCTAATTTGTGTAGGAAAGGGGGGAAAAAAGATTTTGTTACTAAGTGGAGCTAAGCTTAAAAACACTTGTCAATTTAAATGCATGTATTTTTAAATGTATAGTGTCAGATTTTTTCAAAAACAATATAATTTTGCTAGCCTGAAATGTAAATTCGAACCCCCAACCCCCCCATCCTCTAAATATTTAGAAATATTTATAAATTAAAAAAAAAATGGAACCTTCAGGATGTACATGAACTCTGAGTAGCTACATGCTCTTATTCTCTTCTCCCATGTTTATTGCTCTCATTCGCCGCAGCATGTCTAAAATTAGGTACTGATCTTGTGTATATTTAAGCATGTGCATAACTTTAAAAAAGGGGGGGAGGATGGGTTGGGATTTTTGTTTTTCTCAATCTTCCATGCTGTGAACACCCTCTTTTTCTTTGTAACAGAAGTCTCGAACACAGCCACGCAGAGATGCCATAGTCTTTGGCCTTTAAAAATATTCTCTATCCAACCAAATGTCACATGAGAAATGCCTTGCCTTTCATGCTAAGATGCTGTGGGACACAGAATGTGGGTCATTCTCCCTGTCTTGATTGTTTTATGACAGTCTGATTGGACAGAGTTCACCTCTGGGAAGAAGGTGGCCGTAGGCAGCTGTGAAATGTCTAAGGCACCAATCCTGTATTTGCACACAGTAGCATGGACTTTCAGGTATGAGAGGAGTTCCACTGAAGGCAATGGGATACCTCCTGGGCACAGGGAGATTGGGACCAAAAAAAAAAAAAAAAACCACTACACAGTCACTAACAAGAGGAAGACTCCCTCTCAGAATCAGGAGCAATGTCTGTAGCTGCATAACCCAGACCACAGAGGTACTATTGGTTAAAAGTCAACAGTCAGCTGAATGGCTGGATACAACTCATACAGTCATCAGATTCTTTTGTGTTAAAATTTATGTAGACATTTACTCATTAATCAGTCATTTAAACCAAAATGGCTTCTCCTGAGCTATTAATCTGGTTTAGTGGGTAAATGCAGAGACTTCATATGCACAGTAGAATAGTGTGCTACATATTTTGGTATAAGAAAAAGCTACAAGAAGGTGCACATTGGTAGCCTTGTGATGCCTCTAGTGCCTTGTGAGGCATGAACTGTTGTTAAGAGTCATTTTAAGAGAAATAACCTTTGTAGAAAACTATTTTTGGTGGGAGTAAAAGGAAAATAAGGCTGTAGTAGAACTAGGTTAGGGAATATGGCCTTCTTCTAAAAATAACAGTAGAAAGATAGAAAATACAGAAGCAAGAAATAGTTTATAAATACATTTCTTCTCCTATTTTGAATACATTTAATGTTTGTTTTTTCCTAGCCATTTTTCTCTTGTTTACCTGTAGCATGTGGACTGCCTGTCCCTCTTCTTGATTACCCATCAAGTCCAGCTGTCTGTTCAACGATATCAAAGGCACAACTAATGCTCTTAAAACACTTTTGAAAGAAACAGAATACTGAATAATTTCAATATGAAACCAAAGTGCATTAAAGTGGCTGAAATAAGTGCTTGGCATTGTGGGGGCAGAGGACAGTTTTTATTCCAGCACTTCTCTCCCCCTGAACTGCCTCTCTTCAATCCCATGCTGACTACTTCTTTGTGTCTACCTCCACCTTCACTCTTCCCCTCCCATTTAACAGAATAGGTCAAATTCTTCTTTGTGGTAATTCCACTTACTTTATTTTGTGTTTGTTTTCAGTGATGAAGTCCCAGCTGTACACTGCTAGGAGTTAGTGCTCAAGTGTGACATTATAAAAATTGTGGTTTTGAACAAGGAGGGCCTGATTCTGATCTCACTTAACTAAATTTTAACCTGGCATAACTAACTCCATGACTTCAGTGTAATCATTTCTGATTTGCACCATTGTGAGATCAAACTAAGTGTTTTGGCATAAATGAAATGAAAATTAAAAAACAAAAACAAAAATTCAAATGAATTTTACACTTAGCCATTCTAAACAGGAACATCAACTAAGTTACACTTATGACTGCATTGTTACAACACAACAAGCATCAGATAGTAAAACAGATCTCTCATCAATGGTGATGGCCTATAAAAGGATGATTGACTAAAATAGATACATCACAGGGTTTCCGGCCCCAGCAAATGACATAGGTACAGTTTCCCTGTGCCAGAACCGGTCTTCCCACTTTGGGCAATTAAGAGGGCAGGGCACCACTTGGGGCTATGAAGGATCAGGGAGTCAGAGAGAGAGAGACCTGATGAAGCAGAACTGTCTGTGTGAGAATCAGGTGGGAGCTGCTGGAGACCAGGGGACTGGAGGACCTGGCATAGAGTTACTGGGGAGTTGGAGCAAACTGAGGCAGGTGCAGTTGTTGTGCTGCAGCCTGCTGAAAGCGGGTGCTGTAGGGCAGTGATTCTCAAACGTATTTGATTGCGCCACCCTTCTTTGTGTCTAGTAGTTTACGCATCGCCTTCCCCCAGGCACCTGGCCAGCAGCCACCACTCAGTTCGCAAGGCAGAGCAGAGAGCAGCAGCTGCTGGCTGGGCACCCAGCTCTGAAGGCAGCGCCGCCGCCAGCAGCAGCACAGATGAGAACCACAACCTGCATTGGCTCCCTGATTTTCTGCTGCAGCACAGGTTAAAGCATGGTCTAATCATATACCCCTCTTCATCCCCTATACTATGGGCTGCAAGGTGGGATGCGTAGGAGTCAGTGCTCCAGCTTTAAACCCATTGGAGGTTCCCCTTCTCTTGGATGATCCCCAGCAGGGACCTTGCGAGTAGGTTCTGCTTTCTTTGTGTTGTCTGAGCAGGGAAAAGGACTAGAACATGGCAGAAAATCTGCCCCAAGGTTTTAACTGTTGCCCAGGGACCTATTTTAATATTATGTTTGGACTGCAGGGTGAAAAGCTTAGGCACGACTTGTATGCAGCATATCCTACATCTGCAGAAATACCTTACAAACATGAAATGCTGGTGTTCTTCATTTAGCTTTGTCTTAGAAAAGTTAGAAGTACAATTTTAAAATCATTTTCTTCCAAACAAATCCATTGATTGAGCAGCCAGTTCAGTACCACTGTCAAATACAAATACAGGACCGATTCTGCTTGCATTCACATCAATTATTTCCCCAACTTCCCTCACCCCCATTTTTTTGAATAGAAGCAGGATTGGGCCCATGGTAAATTCTGTGGAAATAAATACAGTCATATCAGACTCCATCTTGTGGCTGTGAATGGTAATTTCTGGATGTTCTTTATGCCCAGCACCCACATGTTTGTTTTTAATGTTTAAATTAGTGCTGCCAAATCAACAAAATAATGTTTTGTCCAAATGATTGGTTAATTCAACTATTGCTACTGCGGTTGTTAAGAGTGAAAAATATTTATACTTCCCGT